TCACGAGACCTCTACAGTCCACGCAAAGGGACCTATACGAGCAATGCACATATGGATGGCGCTCGGCCACAGCACAGCAGCCCACAATGGACGCCAAGCTGAGGAGATAGGAAGACTGGGTGGATCTTACAAAAAAGAAAAATGTAAATTTTGTTGGTGTGTATTAGTGTGTCTGTGGTTGTGTGTGTTTTTGAGGGCCCGTTCACACTTGTACACTGCGTTAATCGCAGTCCTGTGTAAATAATGCACTGCACCATGCAGGGGCGGACTGACCATTTGGGCAGTCGGGCACTGCCCGAGGGCCCACGGCCAGTAGGGGGCCCCATCAAGTCAGCAGGGGGGACTCAGAGCTGTGCAATTTGTTTCACCCAGCGCCCGGGACATTCAGCTCCAGGCGCTGGCCAGGTGATTTTCTTCACTACATTGATACAAGCAGCAGGGTTAAAGTTTTGTTCGGTTTGTTTGTTTTTTTTCCCTCCTAAACGGAATGGCGAGGAACGAAGTGTCAGGCAATTCTACTGGCAGCTCTCAGAGGACCCCCTCCCCCCAGTCCCCTCAACAGGGAGCTGGGTCCCTGTCCACCCCCTCCCTCAGAGGTTGCAGAGGCTGTCTTAACCCCTTCAACTCTGCTATGTTATCAGCTGCTCTGCAGGACTTCAGCCACCCCATTCTTCAGCTGTAATGACCAAATACAGAGTGGGACCAGTGGGGTACCTTTGAAATCCAGAGGTCACGGTAAGGAAACAATCTGTTACCCACAAAGTTCCGCAAACAAGAAAGACAAAGTAAACCATTGCTGCTTTTCTGGAAAAACATGTACACAATCACACAGCATTCCTCTTACAGCTACTGGGAAGAATTCTGAGGATGGGAATGTCATAGTAAGCAATGCGAGGATTAGAGATGTCATTTTTTGGCAAAATCCAGGTAAACTAATATTTGGTAGACATGTGCACTGCCAAAAAATGTGTTTCGTTTCGTTTTGATTCGGATTTGTGTTATTCCGTTTTTTCAGGATTCGGGTGTGAAAGTCAATTCGGATTCGGACGAAATTCGCTAGCGGTAGTTCGTTCGAACGTTCGTTTCGTTTCTTATTCGTTTCGTTCGTTCATTTGCAGCAAAGTGACATTTGAGGGGGGAAAACATGTTTTTCTCCTTCTCTAATGTTACTTTGCTCGAACGAAACGGATAAGAAACGAAAACGAAACGAACGTACGAACTACCGCTAACTACCGGAAACGGAAATTCGTATTTGTTTGCATTCGTTATATCTGTAATTCGGAATTCGGATACATCTGAATTTCCGAAAATTCGTCCGACTTTCGCTATGGAACAAAACGAATCGCACATGTCTATTTGGTGTGACACAGAAACCATATGACACTGTTCTACTCAGTGCTTTTTTGTTCTGGGCACCTTTTTGCCCTCAAAAAGCATGCGGCGGTCATCTTAGTTGTGGGCAGGGCCGCAGTGCATCCCCGCTGCCACAACCAAGATGCCCACCGACAATAAACCTCAATGCCAGCAGCCATTTTGGTTGTGGTAGCGGGGACGCACGGAGTATGCACAAGATGGCCAGCGGCAATTAAAGTGTTAACGCTTGCCGCGAGGGCGCCTTTTTAAAAATTATTTTTGCAATTCTATATTTAAAAAAAAAATTAAAGGGCTACCAGTACGTGCCGGTACTGAGTACCTGTGCGTACCGCCAGGAAAAAAGCCCTAGTTCTCTTACTATGACCCAGATCACTTGTAGCAGTCTGCTCCCCCCTCCCCGCTGTGGATTTAGGGTCCCCTACTTGTCCTGGATAAGTAGTTTTTTTTTAAATAAATTAATCTATAGCTTGTATGTGGGTGGAGCACAAGGGGGCCCCTTACCCTCTTAATGCCCGGGGGCCCCATGTGTTGTCAGTCCGCCCCTGGCAGCATGCAATCGCACCTACCCACATTCTGGTGTTTGAATGGCACCCCAAACGCACCTCCCATCCACAGTTCGAATGCACGCACCGGAACGAGCACTACTGCGACATGGGTCACGACTTAATGGCCAATTTCAAATGTGGGTTACACAGGTTGAGAACCAATGCACTAGAGGGTGGATGGGTTGTGACTGAATTCAGGGGTGCCCACCGTTTTTACTTTTCAAATGACGAGCTCAATGAGATCTACCAAGGAAAACAAAAAACAACTCCCTAGCTCTCCCTCCTGGCTGTCTCTCCTTTTAGAGGCACTGCAAATCTTCGACAGCTTTTTACCTGCTTCCTGACGAGCACGCTGTCCTGTCCTCGTGTGCTGCTAGTGCGCCTGAATGTCTCAGACGCTGCAGACGGGCAGGAGTGGGATGCACCTCCCCGTCTGCAGCATCCAACACATTTGGCTGCACTAGCACCACAGGAGGGAGCTTGGGACAGAAAGCCGACTTTGTGAACAACTGGTAGATTGTGATCAACCTAATGAGCATCCCTGGCTTAAGCACAGCACACACATTACAATCTGATTGTACAATCTCCTTTAGATTTAATGACATATGTTGTTCAAGAGCCTCCGTCTGATTGGATACATTTACTTCCCAATAGTTGACAGCTAGTGGTCTCTGCAGATACCTCATAGACATGATTAGACACCTTTATCTGGAGTTATGGTTAGGCCTCATTTGACATTAGCGACTAGGGTCGTTCAGCAAATTCTTTTGGCTGGGATCACAAGTGGTTGCAGACAAGTGGTTGTCCCCTGCTGTTTGCATGTATCCACACATCCAGTAGTCATCTGTAGCTGGGCATTCAGGGATAGACTGACAGCATTGTGAAGTATAGATGCCGTCCTCCCCATGTCCGAATGCTGCTGGAAAAGGAAGCCGATATGAAGACAAACGTACTTGTTCTAGCTGCAAGAAACACGTTTTTTTTTTCTTATATATA